CAAGGCAGTTCTCAGCACCTATGAGGTGGGAGCTGTCTGTGACTCCAGCTCCAAAGAACTCTGTGCGTCTGACCTAGAAAGGTGCTGGCGCTGGCACTCACACTCAGGGACAAAACCACAAGTTTCTGCAAAGTTGGAAGATAAAGAAAAGGAGCTGCAGGCTTCAGCAAACCATCAAATGCAGGAGGTGCCCCTACTGGCTTTTTGTTTTTTTGTTTTGAAATGGGGTCTCTATGTAGACCTGTCCTGGTGCTCACTATGTAGACCAGGCTGACCCTGAACTCAGAAGAGCTCTGCCTGCCTCTGCCCCCCAAGTGTGGCAATTATAGGTGTTTGCCACAATACCCATCACCTGTTGACCTCTTGATGCCCATTAAAATGAAAACCGGCTTTGCTGGAGTCCCCTGAACTTGATTTTAGCCAAAAGACCAAGAGGCAATTACTGAGGGTCTCTGCAAAGTCTTACACAAATAAGCCAACACGAAGCTCAGGGCCCCAGCAATGGGAAGGTACAGGCAGACTCAGGAGTCCCTAATGGGGTCATCCTCAGTTATGTAGTGAGTCAGCCTACACTACACAAGATCCGTGTGAGCAGAACTCAGTGCCAGGCTGGAAGAAAGGATCTGCCCTGATGTATCAGCAAGCTGAGGAGAGACTGTTACAGGACACATGCTCAGTTTAGAGCCCTGTGATACCCAACCCCCAGGGCCTCTGGTCTGGGACTTACGATTTGATGATGTTCCCTAGAGTGTGGTCTTCTTTGTTGATGGTGAACAAGCAAGCATTGGGCACCTTAGTGTCCTTGTTAATGGTGATTCTAGAAAGAGACAGGCAAAAGCTGAGCGAGATTGCTTTCCTGAGCCCACATCCAGCCAGCCACTGAGATGCTGGCACTGATCCTCCAATCAACGTCCGGGGGGGGGGGGTCAGAATGCCCCCTTTGTGGTCAAACGGTCAAACATCCTTGAGACTGCAGTTGGGCTGTTCCCACTACCCCAGAAACCAAGACACACGGCTCTTTCCCACATATGCATTAGTTGCCTTAAACTAGCTCTTGACTAAATTCTTTCCTAGAAGACAGAAAACAGCTGGGTGCTGGCGGCCACACACCTTTAATCCCAGCACTCGGGGAGCAGAGGCAGGCGGAGCTCTAGTTCCAGGCCAGCCTGGCCTATAGAGCAAATCCCAGGACAGTCAGGGCTACACACAAAAGCCCTGCCTCAAAAAACAAAAAGAACCAGGAGACCCCCTAGCCTCCAACTCCCCCCCCCCCAGCAATTCAAGGTGGACCCAAGGCCATCATTCTGCAAGCCCTGCTATCCTCAGCGGTACTAGGAATTGAACCTAGGGCTTCAAGCACGCTAAGCAAACCCTCTACCACTGAGCTATGGGGTCCAGCCATTGGAAGCCCTTCAATCTGCTCACCCCTAAAGGACCCTCTGAGAGCTCTGGGATGGCTCAGTGGTTGACCATTTACCTTGAATGTGTGAGGCTCTGGGTTTCATACTTACTACTCCCCATTCAAACAAACAAGCTAGGCCTGCCTGATAGTTCAGACCAGTAATCCCAGCAACTGAGGCAGGAGGACAGAGAAAAACCCTCAATCATCCTTGCCTTCCTTTTTGTCCCTGGATACACCATGCTAGCTGACCCTACTGTCTGACATCTCGTCCCTGGAGGAGCACTGGAAGTAGACAGCACCAGTGTGACAGGGCCGGGCGGTGGTGGCGCACGCCTTCAATCCCAGCACTCTGTGAGTTCGAGACCAGCCTGGTCTACAGAGCTAGTTCCAGGACAGGCTCCAAAACCACAGAGAAACCCTGTCTCGAAAAACCAAAGAAAAAAAAAAAGTGTGACACGGGTTCTGGGGATCCACACTTGAGTCTTCAGTAAATTCTTTGAGCTATTACCCAATGAACCATCTCCTCATCAAAAATGTTTAAAGTGAAGGTGAGGGGGATGGAGCTGGAGTGAGCCAAACAGTAGTAGCACACACCTTTAATCCCAGCACTAGAGGCAGAGGCAGGAGGATCTCTGTGACTTTGAAGCCAGCCTGGACTACAGAGCAAGTTCCAGGACAGCCAGGGCAACATAAAGAAACCCTGTTTTGGAAAACCAAAAGAAAACAACAAAATAAATAAATAAAGCTAAACTGTAGCTTAGTGATAAAGCAGTAACCCAACAGGGGCTAGACCCTGGGTTCTACCTCCAGCACGACAAAGACCAATGATGGCCCCTTATCTATACACCAGGGACCCTCATCCACATGGGATTGCTTCTTCCCTCACCCCCCAGGACAGGGTTTCTCGATGTAGTCCTGCATGTCCAGGAACTAGCTTTGTAGACCAGGCTGCGCCTTGAACTCACAGAGAACCGCCTGCCTCCGCCTCCGAAGTGCTGGGATTAACAGCGTGTGTCACCACCACCTGACTAAGCATTGCTTTTTTTTTTCTAAAGCAGACTATTTCAAACTTAATACAGAAATATGTATTTCCTTTGTCCACGCCGTGTGAGATCAGTGGACAACCTGCAAATTGTCCTTTCCTTCTACCATTCTGTCCCGGGCATTGAACTCCAGTCATTAGGCCTGACTGTGGGTGCCTGTGCCTAAGCCATCTCGCCAGCTGTGCACATGGACATCTTAGACCTGACCGCTCTTCTCTGACAAGCTGTCTAGTACACCAAGGGTCATTAATAGCATCCTTTGCCTCTGCCCACCAGATGCCAATAGCAACCGCCCTGGGACAACCAGAAATGTTTCCAGACATGACCAAATGCTCTTGCCGATGGGGCACCAACAGGATCCTCAGCTGAGAACATGCCCTCAAGGGAGGCTGAATTAGCTAGCAAAGTCAAACACAAAACCCTGCACATTGGTCTCTTAGAAGTGCGAGGTCAGTCACCGGTCTGCAGTATACACTGCGCTGTACAGACAAACCCAGACAATTTCCTTCAACTGCATTGCTGGCTGACTGACACAGGGATGAAAGGAGCCCTGTGTGTGCTGGGCAAGCAACCTACCACTGTGGCCTACCGCCATACCTTTCTTTCTGAGATAGGGACTCACATTAGCCCAAGAGGACTTCCAAGGAGAGTACCCAGGGCTGGAGAGGTGGCTCAGAGGTTAAAGCACCACATGGCAACTTAAAACTGTAACTCCAGTTCCAGGGACTTGACACCCTCACAAAGACATACATGCAGGCAAAACACCAATGCACATAAAATATAAATAAACTCACAAATTTAAAAAAAAAAAAAAAAAAAAAAAAAAAAACGGGGGCTGGAGAGATGGCTCAGAGGTTAAGAGCACTGGCTGATCTTCCGGAGGTCCTGAGTTCAATTCCCACAACCATCTGTAATGAGGTCTGGTGCCCTCTTCTGACCTGCAGGCATACGAGGAGGCTGAACACTGTACTGAACACTGTGTACACAATAAATAAATAAATCTTTAAAAAAAAAAAAAAGATGACTGTGAGCCACCATGTGGGTACTGGGAATTGAACCCAGAGTCCTCTGGAAAAACAGCCACAGAGCCACCTCTCCAGCCCCCAAATGTCAGGTGTTCCACACTAATTTCCCATTGGTTTTGTGTCTATTTCCATGCCAACTTCTAGCTTTACATTACTATTCTTTCCTAGTTGCAGTTAAATCATTGTACTGTTAGGGACTGAAGCACACTNCCTTTAATCCCAGCACTCAGGAGGCAGAGGCAGGCGGATCTCTGTGAGTTCGAGACCAGCCTGGTCTACAAGAGCTAGTTCCAGGACAGGCTCCAACACCACAGAAAAACCCTGTCTCGAAAAACCAAAAAAAAAAAACAAAAAAACACGGGGACACTCAGGAAAGGTTTTTTTTGCAACCTTTTGAGATAAAATTTGAGTCATCAAAAGGGTGTTTCTGGTTACCATTAAGACAATTACGTGTAACTGGGCATGATAGCACCCGGGAAGCAGAGGCAGGTCAGCCTCTGAGTTTGAGGTCAGCCTGGTCGACAAAACAAGTTCCAGGACAACCAGGGCTGTTACACACAAAAACCCTATCTCGAAAAACCAGAAACAAGTCGGGCGGTGGTGACGCACGCCTTCAATCCCAGCACTTGGGAGGCAGAAGGCAGGCGGATCTCTGTGAGTTCAAGGCCAGCCTGGTTTACAGAGAGGGTTACACAGAGAAACTCTATCTTGGGAAAAAAATAATATATATAATCGTTGATAAAAATCACCAGTCCTACTTCATTAAACCGTCGAGTCCTAACATTCTTTTTAGCGGGGAAACCACGAATCCCTGAAAATCTAGAGGAAATCCTCAGGCTGCTGAGTGAGAAGGCAGCTGTGACTCCGTCCCTTCACCGCTGCCATCATGATCCTCCTGCCTCAGTCGCCCAGTGCTGGAATCACAGGCGTTCGCCACCAGCGGGTCGTGAGATCCAAAGCCCTCACTGTAGCGTGGATGATGGTGTTGCAGACTAGTGAAGAGAATGCCCAGAGGGAAAGGGCTTTGGAGCCTGACGCTCTGGGTTCGAATACAGTCCCAGCCACTTCCTAAGTGTCTGGAGCAAGAGACTCAGTGTCCCCGAGCATCAGTTTTCCCACTGCAAAATGGACGCACTCGGCGAGGCTTCGCACCGCCGCCTACATCGGCGGACGCGCCCGGAGCAGAATGCGCAAAGCACAGCCCGCCTCGCTTTCCCCGGGCGGGAGCAGTGCGGCGCTCCGCCGGGGCTGACGGCCAACTTACTTCTTCTCGCCCTCGAAGAGCAAGAACGACTCGAAGGCCGGAGGAGCGTTCATCCTAGCGACGCGCTCTGGCTCCGAGACTCCAACCTGCAGCCGCCGTCACCACACCGAGCCTCCAAAGCGCTACCACTTCCGGGTCACGCGGCCGCAGCCAATCAGAGTGAGCGCCTGGCTCCGCGCCCCCTGGTGGATCGGATGACCTTCCGCAGGCGCCCACCGGCAGGGCCGAGGGAGACCGCGAGCTGTGCGCACGCGCCAGTCTCGTCCGGTCCGTTGCTGTCACCCGGCCGCTTTTGGGCGCCTATGCCGGCGCGGGGAAAGCTGAGCCACCTGCAACTGGCTCACTGGTCCGCCCTGAGCTGGTGTCCGAACTGTGTGTGTAAAGTCGCCTGTGTGGGCTGCTGCTGCAGGACCCCCGGCTGGGTCGACACCGGCGTCCTTGTGAAGTTTGCTGGATGAGATTCAGGACAGCAGGAAAATGTGTAAAGGTCGGGGAAGAGCTTGGGGTGCCAGTGGATTCTCTCTTGGGCACACAGATAACTAAACACACGATGAAATCCTGGCCCCTCTCCGTTTTTTCAGCGGTCTCTGTGGCAGTTAGTGTTTTCTATTTTTAAAGATTTGTGTGGCACGTGTCTGTAGGTGCCTTTGGAGACCAGAAGAGGGTTGGGTCCTTTGGAGCTGGAGTTACAAGTGCGTGTGAACCACCCTACGTGGCTGCTGGGAACCGAACTTAGTCCCCCGAAGAGCAGTAAGGCTCTTAACTGCGGAGCCATTTCTCCAGCCTCCACGATGGTTCTTGTCAGCCGGATGAAATTTAAGATCATTGTGGAAACAGAGCTCTAGGTGGGACCTGCAAGGCAGCCCACTGGGTAAAGGTAGTGTCACCACACCTGACTACCTGGTTTCAATTCCCAGGATCCATGTGGGAAGGAGAGAAGAACTCCTCTGACCTCCCTGTGTACAGCATCTGCATATCGGTGCACACACAATGCAAAGTTAAAAACGAAACAAAACTTCTGGGTCTGTGAGAGTCTAGACAGGTTTAACTGAGGAAGAAAGACTTACCATTAATGTGGGTGACGGCACACTAGAGTCTAAGGTCTCAGACTCATTAAAAGAAGAAAGTAAGTCATCTCGTTCTGCTTCCTGGCTGCCGATGGCAACGGGATCAGCTGCCTGGCACTCCTGTGGCTATGGCATCCCCACCATGATGAGCTGTACCCTTCCTTAAGATGCTTCTGTCAGGTTTGTAGACAGCAACAAGAACAGTAACCATTACCGACTCAGTCTCCCAGGCGTTGAAATCGCAGGCGGGCGCCACCCTATCCACTGGTATTGTGAGCACTGAGGCACCAGTATGTGGCATGGATGATGGTGGTGCCGCAGGAAACAGGTGAAGATGATGTCAGGTGCCAGAGGACTTGGGAGCCCCTCACACTGTGTCACAGACCCCTGCCTGTGCGAATGGGCATGCTATTCCTGGAGGGTCTACCTAAGACCTAGTCACAGCTAGCCCAGTGCATCTGCCTTGAAGGCGGAAGGCACAGATATTGCAGGCATCTTGCTCAGCTTTTGTCCCTTCAAATTCAGAAGAAGACGAGGAGGAAGAGCAGAAATCATGCAGGGCTTCTCCATGCAGACTTTCTCCAGTCACAGTCCAAAGCATGTAGTCACCTTGATTTCTAGGAACAGGAGACCCCTGAAGACAGACCACCCCGTGAGGAGGAGTCGTCTCATGGGAAGGAGCAATAAGGTTTTCTTCAGGCCACCCTGAAAACCAGAGCTGAGACGATGAGAAACCAGGACATGCCCTGACCAGTAGCCACTTAGTTATTGTTTGTATTGGCTGAACTGTTTACGACCCTAGAGATGGAACCCAGGGTCTTGTATATGCCAGGCAGGTGTCCTACCACTGAACCACACTGCCAGCCTGAGTGTGATTTTTGAGCATAGCCCTTGAATTCAGGCATGGTGGCTTAGGCCTGTAAAGCCAGCACTGTCGAGATGGAGTCACTGGGATCAGGAGTTCAAGATCCTCCTCAGCTGGACAGTTGTTTGAAGCCAGCCTGACTAGATGAGATACTGTCTCAGAGCTAATGGGGCCAGACCTGTGGGTCCACTGGAAGAGAGCTTTCTGAGCACAATCGCGCCCTAGGTTTTGTGGGAGCCCATGAGTGACTCGGTTTCCATCTGGAGTCCATTCTGACTTAAAAGTCATTTGAGTTCGAGCTTGCCTACTCTGCCTACTCTGTAGCGCGCAGAGATGTAGCGCGCAGAGATGTAGCACCGCCACGGCACTGTCATGTCGTGGGCACGGAGCCTGGGCGCTGTTTGCTGTTCCACGTCAAACTTGACAGACAACTTGTGCGCATGCACGCGAGCTCCCCCCCCCCCCAGCGCGGGGAGTCTATCGATCTGGCCATCTGATCTGGCCAATCATAATTCAGCACGATCACTCATTCTGGCCTGAGCCATTGGGTTGATGACACGTCAGGGCTTTGTCTGGCACCGTATATATTCTTCTGCTTCACGGGGACGGGGTCTTTTGCCTCTCTACAACCTCAAGTGTAAGTGCTCCAATAAAGTGTGTTCTGAGAAGAATCCTGTTGCGGTCGTCTCTTCTGCTGGCGGGAGCGGCGTGCTGCACTACTCCAGTATCCTTGAGAGCTGTGGGAAAGTCCTGAGTAAGCCCATGGGAAAGAACACATCGTCTACTAAGACACAGGCTGCTGAGAGAGGTGGTTAGCGGTACCGCTCCTTCTCTGCCCTCTCTGCTCTTCATCTGTAGAAAAGCAGGTTCTGAAATAAACTCTGGGCTGTTTAGTATTGGCCAACAGACTTCCCGGATCTATCCTGTGTTATGTAATGAGTTTGAGGCTATCATGGTCATGTGACAAACCCTGTCTTAACTCTTCCAGAAGAAAATAATATGAGTAATACACCACCCTCCCCTCTGTGGCAGGAGCAGAACTGCAGCCAGGACGCTGCTGTGGAGAGGCTTCATTTAGGGACGTCTGGAGGGAAGGTGCTGGCTGAGTCTGTCTAGACCATTGGTCCTCAACCACCTTCCAGATGCTGCAACCCTTCACCCAGTTTCTCATGCTGTGGTGTGTCCCAATCATAAAAGTATTTTCATTATTATCTCATGACTGTAATTGTGCTACTGTTGTGAGTCATCATGTAAAGATGTGGTATTTCTGATGTTCTTAGGCCACCTCTGTGAAAGGGTCATTCAATCCCTAAAGGGTTGCGACCCACAGGTTGAGAACCACTGGTCTAGATGGCTGCCCTCTGGGCTTCTCTTTCTTCAAAGGCATGAAGGCCCCGCCCACCCTGCCACAAGAAACACAACATGTGGCCTGGGTATCACGAGGAGAGGAAGTGACAGCGCCACCCACCCACACCCTAGTGACCCCATCCCTAACCCCATCATCACAGCCCCACACGCCTCTCTCCAGCCCTGAGCAGAGGCACTGGAATTTGGCTCTGGTATCCCATCGAAGACGGAAGGGGACACTGTAGCCCAGCTCTGCCGTGTCGTCTGTAAGGATGCCCCGAGCAGAGGGGCTTTGTGTGGTGACTGCTTCCAGCTGGAAAGAACCATCAGCCAGGTGGTGGTGGCACAAGCCTGTAATCCTGGCATTTGGAAGGGGTAGGTAGGCAGATCTCTGTGAGTTTGAGGCCAGCCTGGTTTACAGAGCTCGTTCCAGGACAGGCTCCAAACTTACAGAATGGAGGGGTGTGGAGAGCAGTATTGGGACAGCGGTTGGGAGTTTAAACAGGCACAGCCCTAGGTAATATGGAACAAGAAAACGAGGGCAAGAACTTCAGAGAGGCCATGCTGGTGACCCAGTCCTTGGTCAGACCCCAGCCCCATCAAGGGTCCCCTGGAGTCACTTTCCAGAACCTCAGCAGTCACAGCAGGTTTATTAATGACGGTAGAGCACCGTGACACCCGACCTAGAGGGTCACACGGGGGCAACGGTGGTGTATGTGATGGCTGGGAATGAGGCAGGGCAAGGTGGGCAACCTGGTCTCCTGGGTGCAGAAGCCGGGCCGCAGGGACTACCTGAGCAGTCGGGTCTCCCAAAGACGCAGGTGCCACCGCTGTCCCCCACAGACATGGAGAAGCCCATGTTGGGCTATGGCCTCCCCAGAAGAGATGGCCGTGACGAGGGTCCTGAGCATGTCGGGGTTCTCCAAATGCCTGCCAGGCTCGGCGTACGCCTCACGTCTGTAGCTCTAGAAGGTGATGGGGCTCTCTGGGTGGGGCGCCAGCCAGGCTGGAGCTGTGGGCTTCCCGGAGGTCTTGCAGCACACAAAGCAACTGGGCCAGCGGGTCCTTGGGAGCTAAGTAGAGAAGCATCATGGGGAAGGCACGTATGGCTTCAAAGGTCTGCCAGCCCTCACCCATGTGCCGCTGGAGGCAGCTGAGGCCACCAAACCTGAGTCCCAGGTGGGAGGGACCTACCTCCACCACGGTCTGTGGGTGAGCTTGTTCCTGTTTCCCCACTCAGGAGCCGCTGCTTCTCCCTGCAGAGGAGGGCAGAGTGAGGGCCAGCAGCCACACCTACCTTGCAGGGAAGCCTCCCTGCATGTGGGCTCCCTGACCTGCAGGTGGCGCTCGGGGGGACGGGCGGATGCTTTCAGTCCACACGGAAAGGGTCTGGCTTCCACTTTCCGCTTCCAGTCATCTCCCTCTGCAGCCCACCCTTCAGATACCGAGAGGCCAGAACCCCCTTCACTCCCACTTTCAAAACTGTTCTCACCGTGTCTCCAAGCCTGTCCTTGAAATTCCATCCTCCTGCCTCAGCCTCCCTAGTGCTAGGGGTACAGGTGTGGGAACCATGCCTGGCCAGAAGGCCAATGGCAAACCAAGCCAAACTGTGTCCTGGTTTTGCAGGGCGTATGGGAAATCAGCCAGTTGGGTCCTGAAGTTCCTACCTGCCAGTAGGTTATGGGAGGAATTCAGGGATGGGGCCGCAAAGACGGAACCCAGTCTTATCTGAGCTAGACACTCATTCTGCTGTTTCTTTATTGTTTGTCTTTTGGGGGGGGGGTTGCTTGTTTTTGATACAGGGTCTCAAGATATAGACCGTGCTTGAACACTCTACCTTTCAGGTGCTGGGATTAAAGGCAGGAGCCACCACACTTAGCTGTTTTGGTTTCCGGGACGGGGTCTTATGTGGCCCCAGCTGGTCTTAAACTCACTATATCATAGAGAAAAACCTTGAACCTCTCATTGTCTTGCTTCCACCTCCAGAAGGCTGGGATTATAGGCATGAGCACTGTGTCCAGCTCAGGGATTTTTATTTGTTTGTTTTGGGTTTTTTTTTGTTTGTTTGTTTGTTTTTGAGACAGGGTTTTTCTGTGTAGCCCTAGTTGTCCTGAAACTGGCTCTGTAGACCAGTCTGGCCTAAACTCAAAGATCCACCTGTCTCTGCCTCCCAAGTTCTGCGATTAAAGGCATGCACCATTATGCCCAGCTTTTTTTTATCTCAAGAAAATTATTATTTTAAGTGTGTAAGTGTTTGTATGCATGTGTATGTCTGTGCACCATATGCATGCCAGGTACCCACAGAGGCCAGAAGAGGGTATCATATCCTTCTGGAACTAGAGTCACAGACGGTTGTGAGCTATCGGGTCAATGCTCTTAACTACTGAGTCCTCTCCTGCCCAGGTATTTGAGGGAAGGACAAAATCCCAGGAGATCGCTGAGTGCCAAGAAGGACCCTTGCTCCCCTGCTGGGATCTAGAGCACTGTGCACAGACAAGCAGGCCCTATTGTGTAGCCCAGGAGCTGAGACGGCCTTAGAGCATCCTCCAGCCTGCCCCGCCCAGTGGTTCAAAGCTGATGGGCCCAGACTTGCTATTTCACAAAGTCACTTTAGAAAGAAGCATTCTGGAGCCTGGCAGTGGTGGCACATGCCCAGAGGCAGGCAGATCTCTCAGTTTGAGGCCAACCTGGTCTACAGAGCTAGTTCCAGGACAGCCAGGGCTACACAGAGAAACCTTGTCTTGAAAAACAAAACAACAACAAAGCAGCACCTTGCTGTTTTCCAGGGTTCATAGTCAAATTTAAAAATCTTAACTGGCAAGCTAGCCCAGGAACTCATAGATCAGCTGGAGGCAAAGCCAGTGTTCTGATGCCATCTCTAGAAGGCTGGGCAGATGGGGTCAAATTAGCACAGAAAGCAGTTGTGGCCATGACCTCTAGCACCCTAATAGGAGATGACCTCGTTGTGCAGAAAGGCAGTTGGGGGGAAGGGTGCTTGGCCTCATCAAGAGAGGTAATGCAGGGCCAGCAAGATGGCTCAGCAAAGTAAAGGAGCTTGCTGCACAAGCCCAAGGACACGAGTTCAATCCCCGAGACCCACACGGAGTAGAAGGAGAGAACTGACTCCACAAGGCTGTCCCAACTCCATGGGAATGATGTAGAAGCACACGTCCCATGTATCCGTTACGTACACGCGAAACAACAACACATAAAGAGATGAGCACGCTGGGTGTGGTCATGCACCGTCACTTCAGCTACTTGAGAGACTGAGACAGGAGGATCACAAGTTCAAATCAATCCTGGGATACATTGCAAGACCCCGAGGACCAGGGAGCTAGCTCTGTGGGCAAATGCTTGCGCTGTAAGCATGAGGACCTGAGTTTGATCCACATGAAAGAGCCAGGCATGGTAGAATATGCTTGTAATCCCAGAACTGGGGAGGCAAAGATAGGTGGGAATTTGGGCTAGCCAATCTTGTCTAAGCAGTGAGATCAAGACTAATCACAGGTCTTGTCAAAAAAAAAAAAATACAAACACAACAGGAGGCTGGAGAGATGTCTCAGTGGTTAAGAGCATGTACTTCTCGCTGGACAGTGGTGGTGCACATCTTTAATCCCAGCACTCGGGATGCAGAGGCAGGTGGATCTCTGTGAGTTTGAGGCCAGCCTGGTCTACAAGAGCTAGTTCCAGGACAAACACCTAAGACTCCAGCTCTAGGGGATCTGGTGCCCTCTTCTGGCCTCCATAGGCACCTGTACTCATGTGGCATACAGAGACATACACACATGAAAATAAAAAGAAATATTTTTTTGTTTGAGATAAGGTCTCACTGTGCAGACTTGGCTGGCCTAGAATTTGCTATGTAGACAGTGTTGGCCTCCAACTGACTGAAATCCTCCTGCCTCTGCCTCCCAAGTGCTGGGATTAAAGACATGCACACCATACCTGGATACATCTTTTAAAAAAGCACAAGGTAAGAAAGCAGGCAGCACTCGAGGAGTGACATACAAGGTTGTCGTGTGGCCTCTACACACACATGCATACACCCACCATGCGGAAAAACGAACACGGAATCAAAGGCAAACAAAGAAATACAGAAACAAAAGACGGGCAGCCATTACTTAGCAACCCTCAGGTCCAGTTCAGGCCGCAGCCCTCCAGCTGCCCCTCCATGAGCCTCCTCACCGAAGTGCAGCCTCCACGCCTAGCAGGTGCTTGTAGAGGAGCTGAGCCTCAAGGTCATGGTCCAGGGGGTCATTCCATTCCTGCAGGGTCACCCGAGAGTGGGTCCTGTCACAGCCCTGGTCTGGAGGCAGAGACAGGGCAGAGTTACAACGGAGACACCATTTCCACCTTCCCGGAAGTACAGAAAGGGGAAACTGAGGCTGGG